TTAGCTGAACGACCACTGAAAACTGAAAAGTACTGTCCAACTTTTTCATCTTAATGTCAGAATGAATTAAGGTAGCCCAATATCTCATATATATATATATATATATATATATATATATATATATATATATATATATATATATATATATAATTCTATTCAAACCTAGAGGTTATCTACCCTGTTCTCTTTCTACTACTAATAATGTATAGGTCCAACACGTCGATTCAAACGTTTATGTGATCAACTACAAACAGCTTTACTGTCTGGTACTTCGCATCCGAATTTTGTCGCTCATAGCACATTAAATCCTAACGCACTGGCTGGAGGAACTTCATCAATAACCAATGTTTCTCCAACAACTAATGTTGGTACACCTATTTTAAGCCAATTAACTCCATCCCCTGCACCATTAACTTCCTCCAAAGCACCAAGTCATATTTTGGATGAACAAACTACAGGACAAAGTAATAATTCTGCTTCTCTTTTCAATCAAAGTCATATTAATCAATCTTTACAGTCCCGGTTCAGCGATGAAGATGCACTGTTCTCTTCAAAGTTAACCAATCCTGATGAAACTACTACTACAAAGGTACGTAATAATAACTGTGATTATTAGTTATTGTTAACATTTTATTGTTTGTTCGGGTTCGATTTCCAACTACTTAACTAAGGTTATCCAACTGCGTGTTTCTTCTTATAAACCTATGATTTAAACTTCTGTCTATTAACTTCATTGCTTACTTCGATTTGCTCTAGTTCCCTATAGTTAACTAAATCATAAAAGATGGCTTTAAAACATTCAGTCTATTCTTACAGTCCTCCTCACACGACCTCACTGACCTTGACCTAGCGGCGCTTCATTTGCACTGATGATTAGATAACCTCAATGTCTTTACGCCCTTCTATTTGTACCGTTTATGTTCCGAATCAGTTTACTGCAAATGTTGTTGAAAAAACTTCCTATTCACTTATTAGAAATCACATAAAAATGGAAGTTATTGGAAGTTCGTTAGAAAAAAGGTCATTTTTTGTGAACGTTAATCATTCTAATATGTATTAGATTTTCAGTGTCTTAAGATAAAAAAATAACAGATTTGATGTTGATATTCTTCATGTAAAGTGTAAGATCGATATCGTATCGTTTGAAATAAATAGTTATTGGTTTAAAACCCGAGCAATTAGTTAATCTATGAAAGAAACTTTTAATAGTATACTAACTGATTCGTAATTTTTATACTCTTCTACCCAGTACACCAAATATAACCCGATCGTTAAAAATAAATCTTCGATTTCAGTATGCAGTTTATAAATGACTGTTTTTTATTCACAATGCCTAAATAAATCTCCGCATATATTGTACTTTCTTACAGACGACATCTTTTCTTCCCGTCTCTTCGCAGCCTCATGAAACATTGAATACTACGACAGATTCCCTCGTTTGTCAATGATTCTTCTATCTTCTACTCACGTCCACTGACCACCCACCCCCCAACCAATCTGACATGTTCAAACAATTCCAAAAATGCCTTTCATTCATTCATTCACATCACTACTTCTTTACAAGTACCATGATCAATAATGAAATTATGAATACTTTTTCTTAAAATTCAACAAATTTCACCTTTATTGTTGTATTAAAACCGAATGAAAAAATATATATAGATATATAAATATATATATATACATATAGATGATGAGTTGTCTGTCTCTCAATTATTTCACTGACCTTTTTTTTAATATAAGTAAGTAACATTGATGCTACTTTACATCATTAACTTTTATCACTTATTATTATTATTACTATTATTGTTATCATTATTAATTGTTTTTGCTACTTCTATACACAAGAATTTCCGTCATTTTTCTTCTTTCCAACGATGTTGATATCTATATATATATAAATGTCCTTGTGTATGTGCTTTTCTGACTTGAATGTAGATAAAGTTTTACTGACCTTTAATTGTTTTCAACTAATATGTGAATACAATTACTCCGTTACAATTTAATTGAAATTGCCCAGCGGATTAACTAAGGTCACATTGATTCATGTGTATGTAAGCTGATGGATGATGTGTTGTAATAATTGGTATATTTTTCTATGCAAATCAAACAAACAAACAGTTTTTTTCTTGTCTCATTATCCTATAACACTAGTTAAGTCATGAAAATATCCATTCATCCATTATTGTTGCTGTTATCCTAGCTATCACTATTCACGATGATGTGAATAGAGTAGAGAAAAATTGCCCGTGACCTAATAAATTACATTGAATTAAATTGTCTGCGTTTCTATTTCATTAAATTTCATTATCTTAGGATGCCATTTGTTCTAATCATTATGATTAATTACTACTACTATGATTATACTAAAAAAGTCAACATGACTAACAATATCTTCAACCATATTTCTTGAATTCCTTTATTTCATCTTGTTATCATTTTAAACGTCGTAGTTGACACCTTGTATACAATTTTCTTAATGTATGAAGCTTTCCTCTTCTCTGTAGCTCTAAAATTACATGTCAATATGTATTTTGTCAGTTAATCGTTTATGCATTTCTAATACACACATATGTGTGCAAGTCTTATTCAAAACAATGCACACACACAAATACACACATGTACTCTGCTATCATTAATTAGGTCGATAACCATTATTTATCGTTTGTTGTATATTTTTTTTTGAAGACAGAATGTCAAATGTTTATAAAAATTATCGATCGATCATGAAGGTGTTTGATGATCGGTATTTCTGATTATATTTGTTTATAATGATATGAATAGCCATATGCATTTGTTTGTTTGTTTGTTTTGATCAGTTATCACCCATTGACTATTGTGTATCTGTTATGGCATGTTTCTTAGTTTCAGAATGACAAAATCTCCTAATTTATTGTGTTTATTTGATTGCTGTGGTGGTTGTCGCTGTTTCAATTTCTTTCAATAATTGTTCTTATCATCAACTATGTAATTGTTTGACAATATTCTCTCTCTCTCTCTCTCTCTCCTTGTATTTGTATATGTAAACATATAATATTTACACTTTTGTCGTCCTTGTTAACTTCAAATCACTAATCTACATTTATATAAGACGTATACAATTGCATTTTTAAAAAAATTAATTAATCAATCAATTAATTAATTAATTAATTAATTAAAAAAACAAGGCGACATTTTTATTTTCTCTTATTAACTTGTGCTTAGTATAATAATAATAATTATTATTATTATTATTACTATCCTTGATTGTCTATTTATTAACTTCTGTTTTTAATATATATAATTTTTATTGACCTCAAATAATATATATATATATATATATCGTTCATATTTGAGAAAGGAGATATTGGGTTGTTTTTTTTGTGCCACTTGTATAGCGGCAAGCAAAAGAAAAAACGCCCTAGTCGTTTGTTTATTTTTCTGCATACAAGTGTATTTTTATCCCAATTGTTTTTTAGTTCTTACACTCTTTTTTTCTATTATTGTTGAATGAATTATCTTTGAAAAATATTAATTCATCAATTTTTTTTTATCGGAATGATAAATCCATTCTTCTCATTGAAAGAAAAAAAACTTCTTCATGTTATGAGTTTTTCTCTTTTTTTTCACCTTTATATCGAGTATGGATTGTTGTTTTTTTCTTCTCTGGATTGATGTTGTTGTTGTTGTTGTTCTCGTTTTGTTTTATTTTTCATTTCTTATTGCCTTGATGATCATTTTAGGATGAGGAAGACGAAGAACCAGAAGAAGAAGGAGAAGTGATAAATCGAGAATAAAAGAAAACAAAACTTTTAAACACTTACAGAACACATACACACTACCAAAAGAAAGAAAGAAAAAAAGAGGAATTAAAGTACAAAATTTAATAAATGAAATGTAAAAAAAAAGAAAGAAATTGTTTTCTATTTATCTTCGTGTTTTTTTAATTCTAAACTTTTTTTGGTGGAATAAACATGAAAAATGGTGATCATGAATTGTTGTTGAATAATAGCTAACAGCAACAACAGCAGCATCAGTAGTAGTTTAGGTTGTTTGTTGTTCGTTATACATTCATTCTCAAGTGAACTTTTAATTATCGATTTAAAGAAGAAAAAAACTCAAAAATGTTTTTTTTCTACATTTTCATTTTTTTTTAAAAATAGAAGGTTTTAGCTTGTAAATTGGTCACATGATGAAGTTGTTAAGTTGATCAGATAGATGAATAGTTGCATAATCTTAAGACTTACCGTAAAATCCGTAAGAAATTAACTAATCGAAACATCATAAACATGAGGATACTTTTTTTTTAATAAAGTAAAATTATTTCAAACATTAACTGAACTTATGAAGAAAAAGATTTTCCTGAATATATCCCTTGTGGCGCTTAGGCTACTGAGCAGCATTCTCCAACCTACTCTGTCATAGGTCGTCCTTTCCACTTCTACCCAATTTCCATTTGATTCTTTTCATGGTTCTTTCTAATATTCGGCTCTATCTCTTTACCTCTGTCCTTGAGGATTCTAAATGAGGGCTTATCTTGTAATGCGATTGAATGATCCCCTCAATATGTATGTCCCATCCACCTCTTGCGCTTTTCCCTAATTTCTTAAGTAGGCTGTTCAACGAATGAAGAGTAACTTGTTATACAACTTAAAGAACATTTGTATCTTTTGGATGGTGACAGTCACAATTATTCAAGTTTTCGCTCCACACAGGGGAACTTCCTTGACATTTGTATTGAAAACTGTGATCTTGCTGTTGACTGACAGTCATTTGTTTTAAATTACTTCACTTGTAGAAATACTGCGCTTGTTTTTCCTGATCTGCGTCTTTGAAGCTTTATCAGATCCATTTTGTTCATCAGTAATGGTGCTCAGGTCTGCACAGTTTTCTACATCTTCCAGAACTTCTCCATTAAGTGGGATTTGGTTGGTTCAAGCTGTGTTGTATCGGAAGATCTTGCTTTTCTATTGTATATGTTGCAAACTACTGCTGCTACACTAGCCGACTTCTGGACTTGTTGCGTGTGAGACAGAAGAGTTAGATCATCTGCGAAGTCGAACCGTCCAGCTGCATCCTAGCCGTCTACTGTCCACTGGTGCTTCCCTTGAGATGTTGACGTCTTCATAACCCATTCGACCACCAGAAGAAAGAGACCCTATCTGACTCTGGTTTACACTCGGAATGAGTCTGTGGGCCGCTCTCCATGCATGCTCTTACAGTTTAGTTCATCATAAAAGTTCCGTATGATGTTGAATATCTTCTCAAGTACACCGTAAAACCGAAGAAACCTGCATAGTGTTATCCTTTCAACTCTGTCGAATGCATCCTCATAGTTAAGGGTGTTGATGTAGAGTGAATCTCATTTGGTTTAACAACACTCAATTGAATACGTTTCCCAGTATTGAGAGTAGATTGATCGCTTTGTAGTTCTCATACTTGCTAAGATCTTCGGTATCTTGATAAGTTGTTCTTCTTTCCAGTCTGTTAATACTTGTTTTTCCTCCCAAATCTTGACGAAGAGAGTAGAGTAGCGTTGCAAGTTACTGCTATGTTTGCTTTCAGTGCCTGAGCTGGCATATTGTTTGATCCTGCTGCTTTGCCACTCTTGATTCGTTTGATGCCCATGCTCATCCGTTCAATTGTTGATGGATCAACATTAATTGTGCTCTCTGCTGCTTCGATGTTTGATGGATAAAGTGGGATAGTTTATTCAATAGTTTTTCAAAGTGCTCTACCGACCTGTTTCGCTGTTCTTTAATGTCGGTGATCGATTTGCCTTCCTTGCTTTTCACTGATCGTTCTGGTTTACAATATTTTCCGGTGAGCTTCCTCGTGTCTTATAGTTGTCTCGCGTTTCCTTCTCTTGCAGCACTTTCTGCTATCATTGCTAGATCTTCCACATAGTAACATTTATCAGCTTTAGTGCCCACTTCATTTGCAGGTTTACTTCTGTGTATTCGACCTATCCCTTAGCTTTCTCTGCTCTTGTTCGGCTGATGTTGTTTGGTGCCCTCCTGACCTTCATCAGTTAAATCTTATCCACGACATCAACAGAGATCCATTCCTTTCGATGGTGCTTTTTGTGGCCAAGAACCTCATGACATGTTGAAGTCATTACTTCTTTGATCCCATTCTAGTTGTTGTACATGATGGTTTCCTCTTAATTGGGTACATTGTGAAAGGCCTGAAACTTATTTTTGAGGGCTATCTTGAATTTTTTGAGTTTGTCAGTATCTTGTAAAAAGGCTGTAATAAACTTCTGTGATGCTGTTTGCCAGTCGACCAGTGCTTCATGAGTTTCAGTTTCTTCTCGCCCACTACCAAGTGACGGTTTGAAGCTTTGTCTGCTCCCTCTTTGGTTCTGCTATCCTCCATGGTCCTTCTGAACCTCTTACTGATACAAATATGGTCTGTTTGGTTCTCTGTAGTGTGATCCGGTGAAACACATGTAGCTATGCGCATGCGT